CATGACATGCCCCCCGCCCCCACTGTCTGCCCACCTCTGCAGCCTCTGTGTGCTGCTTACTCATTGCTGAGCACCTGGGAGAGGGAGACGGCTCTGCCGTCAGCTCATTTTTCTGTGCTTCCTTGTCCTCCGGGATCATGGCCCACCCTAAGTCTTGGCTGTCCGACAGCTCTGTCGTGTATTTTCATTTCTCAGCCCCGTGCCACCGCTGACCACTCTGCCCAGCTTTGCTGCCTCTTTGCCTGTGCTGCTTTGGAATATGTCATGGTCCCTGGGAGGAGTGGGGTGGGAGGCTGGGCTCCTGCACCTTGGTGCACTTTCCCCCTCTCTAGGTCCTGGCCTGAGGGCCCCTGTGAGTCCATAACTCTCACATACCTTTAGAGGAGTTAGTTTGTTTAAATTCTGCTTTTCTAATTATTCTCAGTGGGAAGATTGATCTGATGATTGATCTGTCATAGCTGGAAATGGAAGTCCTTCCGTATAGGTGGTTGTGATTTTTAAATTGTTAAAAACACATTGTAATGTCATACAGTAAAGATAGACTGTGGAGATGTTCCAAATTAAAGGAGGCTAAAGATACAACCAAAGGCCGTACCTGACCCTAGACTGGTTGTTGTATTGGGAAGGAAGATTGGCAGGGATGACACAGTGGAGAAGGAAATGTCCCAGGTCTCCTCTCGTCCCCAGTCCCTGTGGAGCCTGTCACTGTCCAAATCTAACAGGAAGCAAAAAGCCAGGAAGCCCGGGTGCTTTGGATGATGACTTTAGCCTCTTGGGAGCACAAAGCATGGTGGAGAATGGATCTAAAGGGCATGTGGAGATGGTCCAGCACACAGCGGACTGGGAGAGAAGACTTACAGGGGCTTATGGACAGAGGAGGTGGGAAGGTAGCCAAGATGGAGAAAGTAGAGACATACGTTATTTGAATATATCACTCCTGACACCCAGTCGTTAACTTTGTATTTGTGTGCCAGTAAATGAAAACATTTCCTGACTCTCTGGTTTGAAAAGTACGTTAGCAGAACTCATTTGATTGACTTCAGCAAGATTGATCTTAGTTTTTTGTGATGGTATTTATTTTCAAGTGTTCAGTGAATGTAGTTGGTAAGTCCATCAGGGAGGTGTTCACTCTGTGCCTGGCATCTGTCAAGCACTGCTAGGTAATGTAGGGATATGCAAAGGACAAAATCTGACCCTTTTCCTTGGTAATTTACAGGTATACTAGGGAGCTCCAACCCTCAGATGTTGAAGTTAGTGATGTAAGGTGCTGCCAAGTCCATTGGCAATGCCAATATAGAACAAATTCCTGTTAGTCACACATTTTCTTCATCTTATAAAAGATAACTCAAATGGCCTTTAAGTTAGAAGATGAAGAGTGGTTTGGGGAGCAGATTTTTAGCAGTGCAGGAAAAAAAAATGCTATTTCCATGTTCTGGTTCCAACTCTTTCTCCCCACCCACCCCGTTTGATTTGTTTTAAAAAGATTGACAAAGTGTTGTTTGGCTGGCTTATAGTGGGTAGAAGGATTTGAAATGCACTTAAGCTCTTTAACTGAAGCCCCCCCCCCTTTTTAATGAATCCTGAAATAGTGTCATTTTTTCATTTTTTCACTTTTTGAGCTTAAATTGTTGACAGGCTGATTAAGTGAAAATGAGGTCTTAAGGGTGGGCCCTGATCCAGAATGACTGGTGTCCTTATAAAAGGGTACATTTGGACACAGAGACAGACATGCACAGGGAAGCTGATGTGAAGAGACTGGGAGGAGGCCCAGTGACAGCGGAGGCAGTTGGGAATTCTGGAAGATCGAGGCTACTGAAAGGTGGAGGAGCCAGGGAAGGATCCTCGCCCACAGGTTTCAGAGAGAGCCCGAGCCTGCTGACACTCTGGTCTCAGGCCTGTAGCCCCCAGAACTAGGGGAGATGTTTCTGTTGTCATAAGCTGTCCACTTTGTGGTGCTTTGTTACGTACCCTCCAAATCTCAATTCACAGTAAAGATGGGGTCTGTTAGCAGCTAATTGTAAATTCTTTTCTAAACCTATTAGTCATATGAAGGGAAAAGTTAAGAGCTGTTAAAAACCCTTCATTTTGGATTTGAGACTTTAAGCTGTTTTGGTCAAAAACAATCCTTTCATATTAACACAAAACAACTGATAGTTTATTATGCTTATTATAAGCATGCCAGGTGGTAAAGAAAGGGTAGGAGAAATCGATCCCTTTCGTATGGTTTACATTTCTTTGCTCAGTGTTTTTGAAATGCTGCTTTTCCTTTGTAGCTCTGTCTCCTGTCAGTTAATAGTTCTGTGTACCCTTCTGATGAATAAGTTAAGCATTAAGAGATACAGCCATTCTCCTGTTATTAAAACTTTCGAAAAAGGATTGTGAATTTCAGAAGCCATATTGATATGGAAGTGGCCTGTGATGCAGATTGTTTCTATATATTGGGAGTCTGTCTTGGCCACCCTTTCATTCAGTTAACAGTTAAATGGAGATTTCTCCTTCATTGTGAATGCTAAAGATGAGCAGTTAGAAGACAGTTTAGGCTGGGTGGCAGCTCCTTTCCTTTTCTGATATGGAGGCTGGGTAAGATAATGTCTTGATTTTGTATGATGTGTCATTCACTGTCCATATTCTTTCTGTCCCTGGTTTAAAAAAAAAAAAATCACAGAAGCGGTATATTCTCATTATGAGACATATAACCAAAGTGGCTGTGTATTTTTCTCTACTCAAGGATTAGCAGAAGGAACGGGTAGAGAAGTGAAATTCATTTGTGTGACAAATATTTGTAAAATTCCACGTACCACTGTAGGGATTTGGGGTGTATCAGAAAATGACCCCTGAAAATGCCTGCCTTGTGGGGTTTGTTCAGGGTGGCAGGCACAGCTGGGGGCCAGGCTGAGAAAGCAAGGGTTTGCCGGTTTTGTGGGAAGGTGGCGGCAGTGCTCCCAGCTGGCCACAAGGCGGCGGCCTCGTGCAGCGGAAAGGCACCTGCTGCCTCCGGTGCTTGCGGTGGGCAGGTGTGGCGTCCAGGATGCTGACTTTGAATTCTGTGGGGTACCTGGGGGAGAGTGGGATGTCTGACGCTGTCCCCTCATTATGGTAGCCTATGGAAGGTCGTGTACGGCTACACAGAGCGCTTATGAAGTTGCCCTAATGAAAATCTTTTGGGTGGCCAGTATTAATTCCCTCATATTTTTATACACAGTAAGGCTTATAGGGATGGAATTTTATATTTTCTTTGCCACGTTTGAGTGACATACAGCTTAATGATACGCGAAAATTGAAAAGTGAACTGCAAAGAAAAAGTTTGCAGCACTAGTAATTTTATTTTAGTTCCTTTTTTCATTTTGTTTTTTTGTGACCGTATGCACGTCATTGTTCATTCATAATTATAACTACGTAAGTTTTCGTTTAACATTGTGACACAGGGCAGCTGTGTAGCTTTTAAAGCATAGCTCTTGACTGATAGTTGATTTCTTGGGCAGCCAGGATTTGGAGGGCAGAGTAGAATTCCGGGGAGAATCCGTGGTGTGATTGTAGAAGGGAAGATTCGAGGCAGAAGAGATAGTCCCACTTTACTTCACATGGTTTCTGAGAAACGCATTTTAAGAGAAGTTCTGCCAGCTGGTTTCATAATCTGTGACTGAATATTTAGCGTTAGGTGCTCATCTTCCCTCTAGGGCAAAGGTTCCCTGGAAAATGCAGGCTGCCTTCATTTCTCCAGAGCTTTGGGGATGCCCCTGCTGTTCTTGGCAGTCCCCCCGCCTTCTCAGAGCCTGGCCATGAAGCCGCACCCCTCCTCTTGTCTGCACCTCACTGGACGGAGCGCTGTCAGCCATCTCCCCTCTCAGGTGGAGGGAGGTGCCAGTTTTCAGGCTGCTGCCTCCCACTGCCTTCTGGTTTTTCCGCCCCCGTGTTCCTGAGGCTGGGCTCCCTCATTGGCGATAGCTGGTTGTGTGTTGATTTCATTTTGTTAATGACCAGAGACCAGGCTGTTGTCCTGAAGTGCTTTCGCAAAGTCTGTTCCCAGACCAGCGGTATCTGCCTCACCTGGGAACTTGCTGGAAGTGCAGGTTCTCCGGCCCACCTCAGGCCTGCTGAATCAGAAACACTGACAAAGGTGGGGGGGGGGAGGGGGCAGCAGCCTGTGTTTGAACAAGCCCTGTAGGGGATTCTGGTGGACACTGACATTTGGGAATCACTGTCCGCAAGCATTGCTACTTTCATCAGAGAAGGTAACGCCATTAACTCTGAGTACTGTATTCCACCTCGAATCTCAGTATATACGGTAGCATAAAAATGGATGATTTCTTAGTGCCTGAGGTCAAGACGCTTAAAATTTTAAGTTCTGTATTTCTTTGCTTTTTAAATGTCAGTATTTCTGCATCATAATATCTTTTATTTAAAGTTGATAAAACTTTTGATTTCAGACATTAATGTGGATGTCTTGGGGATTTTTGTTGGTGATTTGAATCACCATTTAAATGAATCTGGTGGAGAGGAAGAAAGCCATAGTTCCCTGCTATCACTGGGCCTTTTCCTGTCTGATCTCCGTTGCTGCCAGCCCTCCACTGACTGCCACTGCAGTTCTTCCTCCTGAGTCAGTCTGCCAGTTGGTGAGACGAGTGCTGTGAATCAGCCCCGGCTGGTGCCGTCTCCTCGCTGAGCTCCCTCCCGCTTTTGATGGAGCAGATACAAGTCTGTGCCACGAGACAGTCGGGCTTCTCAGTCCTGCCTTCAATCTCTTACATAACCCACTTCCTTAAAGCCTTGAGTACAAGTCTGGCAGTAAAATGAGGTCTTAACAATGTAAGACTGAAAACAACAACAACAAAAGTACTTTCTGGTATGGGCTAAAAACTGATAGGAACCTGAAAAGCAGAACCTTCAGAATGTTGGCCACTGGTTCTGTGACTAATCCCACCTGAGCAGCCAGTGCCCGTTTTCCCAAGAGGTTAGGCACATTGGGTTCTTAGAGGAGATTCGTGACTTGAAATACTGAGTTATTGTCTCTCTCCTTCTAGACCTGGAAAGGAAAGAGCAAGAATTAGAGCAACTGAGAATGGATTGTGAGCACTTCAAAGCCCGCCTGGAGACCGTGCAGGCTGACAGCAGGAGAGAGAAGAAGGTACGATGCTCACAGGCCGCCGCCTAACACATCAGTGTCATGACTGAGCCTGCAGAGTGGTGTGGCTGGCGGCCGTTCTAGCCCTTAAGTCTCAAGAGAGTGTATTTTAAAATGTATGCAATTCTGGGGGCTCCTAGGTGGCTCAGTCAGTTAAGTGTCGGACTCTTGATTGTGGTCATGATCTCAGGGTCATGGGATCGAGGCCTGCATTGGGCTCAGTGCTCAGTGGGGAGTCTGCTTGAGAGTCTCTCTCTCCTCTGCCCCTCCCCGCTCCCTGTGCTCTTGCATATGTGTACACACTCTCTAAAATAAATAAATAAATCCTAAAAAATAGCAAAATGTACGTAATTCTGAATGGGTTGGAAAATAGTCGAACATTGGGATTTTATGACCGTTTCATGTGGAAAATATTTACTGGGTGCCTTGTGATTGTCACTTCCTATTAATTTTACTTTTATTACTTCTTATTTTTTTTAAAGATTTATTTATTTGAGAAAGTGCGTGTGTGGGCACTCGAGCTCGGGGGTGGGGGTACAGAGGGAGAGAGAAAGAGAGAAGCAGACTCCCCACTGAGCATGGAGCCAGATGTGGCGCTCTATCTCAGGGCCCCCAGGATCATGACCTGAGCTGAAATTAAGAGTCAGACACTCAACCAACTGAACTACCCAGGCACCCCTAATTTCTATGTTTAAAAGACTACTTCAGGGGCGCCTGGGTGGCTCAGTCAGTTAAGCGTCTGCCTTCAGCTCAAGTCATGAGTCTTGGGATGGAGCCCTGCATCAGGCTCCCTGCTCAGCGGAGAGCCTGTTTCTCCCTCTGCCCCTCACCCTGCTCATGCTCTCTCTCACTCTCTCTCTATCAAATAAATAAATGAAATCTTAAAAAAAACACTTCAGAACATTAGAAGTCACAGTATAAGAATCTTGAAAAAAGTGCACATAATAATTTATAATCAGAGACGTATTAACTACAAATATTTGTAATTAACCTAGGGGATCATTTATTGATATTTTAGAAATAACCAATATGTTCTATTATTTGCTGAGACTAATAGTATTTCTTTAAAATTATACATTCTTGCTTTTTGTATGGAATACATTATTTCCTCTTCTCTTCTGTAAAACTAAACTATCCTGCCACTTGTGATGAAATTCGGAGCGTGTGTGTTTTTATTTTTAAATAGTAAAGCAAGGGGCGCCCGGGTGGCTCAGTCATTAAGCGACTGCCTTCGGCTCAGGTCATGATCCCAGGGTCCTGGGATCGAGCCCCGTATCGGGCTCCCTGCTCAGCGGGAAGCCTGCTTCTCCCTCTCCCACTCCCCCTGCTTGTGCTCTCTCTCTTTCTTGCTGTGTCTCTCTCTGTCAAATAAATAAATAAAATCTTTAAAAAAATAAAAAAATAAAAAAAAATAAATAGTAAAGCAAGAGCAGTACTAGTAACAGCAGCTGGTATATGTTGTTTTCTGTGCAAGTTCAGCGGTGCCCTCTGACAGGGCTTCAGCTGCTGACCTCGGCCTTTGTCTTCTCCATGTGTTTTCAGAGTTAACTCCGCACCATTCACAGTTAGCTAACTCACTTGCAGGGGACTGCCCATGTCTGCTTCTCTGTGTATTTGATGTGTTAGGAAAGCATTAGAAAAGTTAGGATGTGTTGTGATAATAAAAGGGAAGTTGTTGCAACCATTGTATATATATTATTTCAGGAAACTTTTTTTTTTTTTAAGATTTTATTTATTTATTTGAGAGAGAGAGTGAGAGAGAGAAAGAGCACAAGAGGGGGGAGCGGGAGAGGGAGAAGCAGACTCCCTGCTGAGCAGGGAGCCCGATGCGGGACTCGATCCCGGGACTCCAGGATCATGACCTGAGCCTAAGGCAGTCGCTTAACCAACTGAGCCACCCAGGCGCCCATTTCAGGAAACTTTTTAAAGAAAAATGAGCTGATAGTATATTTCAGTTAAAATCAGAGATGAACTACAGAGGGTTTTGAAGGAATCCTGAAAGTCTGGTGCTTGATACTCTGTCAGGTGTGAGTATTCACTTTAAATACGTAAACATGTCAGGACTCAATTATTGTTTCTTTTTTAAAAGCAGCTCTATTGAGATATATTTTGCATGACAGAGTAATCTGTTGTAAAAGTAAAGTTTGTTCATTTTTAGTAACTATATGCAGTTATACCACTTTCACCGCAGTCCATTTTGCTTTTGGTTAAAAGTTTTTAGAAAGAATTGTGGATGCACAGGAAGATACAGAAAAATCCAGGGACGTCCCCTGTGCCTGTATCCGGTTTGCCCTGGGGTAGCGTCTGGCCTCACTGCAGTGCACGGCGAGAGCCCGGGGACCAGCACCCGGACAACCCACGGGGTGTGTTTGTAGGTCAGCGGTGCTGCACGCACTCGTGTGTGTGTGTGTGACTAGTTCTGTGCGGTTTTTTAAAAAAGATTTTATTTATTTGAGAGAGAGAGCATGCCGGGGGAGGAGCAGAGGGAGAGGGACGAGCAGACTCCCGGCTGAGCGTGGAGCCTGACTCGGGGCCGATCCCATGACCCAGAGATCAGGACCTGAGCTTCACGAGTTGGACAGTGAACCGACTGATCCCCCGGGCACCCTAGTGCTGTGCAATTTTATCACACGTATAGATTCATGTAACCACCACTATATTCAACATACCAAACTCTCCTATCAGCATAGAGATCCTTTCGTACTCCGTGCCGCAGCCACACCTGCCCTGTTCCCTGCGCTTTCCTCCTGGCAACCACCGACACATAGTTGCCACACGTTGATCTCTATAATTTTATTTCAAGAATGTCATGAAAGTGACTTTTTTCACTCAGATTCATCCAAATTCTTGCTTGAATCAGTAGTCTGTTCCTTTTTATTGCTGTATAGTATTCCATAGCATGGAAGTATCACAGTTATTTAACTTACCTCCCATCGAAGGACATTTGGGCTGTTTCCAGTTTTTCACTATTATGAATAGAGGTACAGTGAACATCCGTGCATAGGTTTTTGTGTGATTGTATGTTTTCATTTCTTTGGGTAAATGCCCAAGAGTGCAGTCTCTGGGTTGCATGCTAATGCATGTTCAGTTTTGTTTTTTTTTTTAAGGTTGATTTATTTTAGAAAGGGGAGGGGTGATGAGTGGGGGGAGGGGCAGAGGGAGAGAGAGAGAATCTCCAGCAGACTCCCTGCTGAGTGAGGAGCCCGACAGGGGGCTAGATCCCACGACCCTGAGATCATGAACTGAGTCAAAACTAAGAGTCAGCGGCCCAACCGACCGAGCCCCAGGTGCCCCTGCATGTTTGGTTTTGTAAGAAATTGCCAAGTTGTTTTGCGGAGTGGCTGCCCCATTTTACATTCCTTCCAGCAATCTATGAGTGATTCATTTCTTCTACATCCTACCTGGCATCTGGTGTTATCACTGGTTTTATTTCAGCCGTTCTAGCAGACGTGAGGTGGCCTGACTTTGCATTTCTCTCCTGGCCAGTCATGTTGAGATCTCTTAACATGCTCATTTGTTGTCTGTGTATCCTCTCCTGTGAAAGATCTGCTCATGTCTTTTGCCCACTTTCTAATGGGATTATTTTTTTTCCTGTTGAGTTGAGAGAGGTCTTGATGTATGCTAGATAGAAGTCCTTTACTGGACACGTGGTTTGCAAAGAGTTCCTGCCAGGCTGGAGCGTGTCGCTTCATCTTCTTCATGCGGTCTTTCGCAGAGCACGTGTGTTCAGTCTGCTGAGGTCCAGTTTGTTGACTTTTTTCTTCCATGATTGTGCGTTTAGTGCTGTAAGAACTTTCCTCATAACCCTGGGTCCCCAAGATTTTCTTTTTTCTAATATTTTTATATGTTATATTTAAATTCTTGATCCGTTTTGAGTTAGGTTTTGTATAAGGTATGAATTTCAGTTGACGTTTATTTTTTTGGGGGGGGGTCCAGTTGCTCTTGCGCTTTGTGGGAGAGATGATGTTTACTCTGTGGACCTGCTTTTTGCCTCTGTGAGTGACCAGTTGGGCACATTTGCCAGGTGTGTTCTGGGTTCTTCGCTCTGGCCTGTCGATCTGTTCTGCCAGAGCTCACTAGCGCTGTTACTGTGGCCACGTAGTGAGCCTCAGCATTGGGTAAAGCGATTCTTCCCATCGAATTTTTCTTCCCCCAAATTGTCTAGACAGGCCCTTTACTTTTCCATATACATTTTATAATAAGCTTATCGGTATCTATAAACATTCATGCTGGGATTTTGGTGGGAATTGCGTCATGCCTGTATGTCAGTTTTGGGAGAACTGCAATCTTGTCTATGTCGAATCTTGCAGTCCATAAACATAAAGCATGTCTTTCCACTTCTTTACGTTGTCTTTAATCTCCTTTATCAACGGTTCGTAATTTTCAGCACACAGAACCTATCCACATTTTGTTAGATTTTTACTTAAGCCTTTCGTTTTCTTTCTTTCTTTTTTTGGTTCCACAGAACGTTTTTATTTTTATTCAACTCTAAGCAAGTAGCAGAGTTAATACAGCATTCTGGAACTCCAGACTGGCTTTTCTTCTACCAGTGAAGAGTGATCAGTTTAATAGTGCAGACTTGGGGATTTCTCACCACCTCTCACCCAGCCCCCAGCTCATCTAGACGACTGCACAGAACCACAAAGTGACTCTCCCTATTGCTGTTTCCAGTACTGCTCTTTAAAGGAACCAGAGACACTGACCCCCAGGAACCAGTCCCAGACGTAACATACTGGGGACTAGTGGTGTGAGAGACACTGTCATGAAGATGTGACCCAGAAGATGCCATTATGCACAATTGCAGACTCAGACTCACCAAGACAGAGGCAATGAATCTGTTTTTTTTAAACCTCTCTTACAGATTCTTTGATGCTCTGCTCTATTACTGTAGACCTGATCTTTTCACTTGAATTTTTTCTTCTTTAAATTCTGGGTTGCTCTTCTTATGCTGACAATTTTATGAGCCCATCCTAGTACCAACATGTCCTCCAAAACAGAGTTCA